TTGGCGTTGCGGGGCGGCGAGGTGCGCTCGCGCCTCCTGCGCCCTTTGCCGACCTCGACCTCACCTCCACCTGGACTCGGGCTGACCTCCGCCCGGACGCGAACTCGTCACGTGACCCCGCCGGTGAGTTGGCGGCTCAGCCGAGTGCGTCGCGTGGCGCCCAATTTTCGCCCGGGTGGTTGGAAACGTCTTTGTCGCACTCTCCGAAAGCTCTTCAACTTTGTTAGCCTTTCGTGCTCAGTTTTTCAAAACATGTTGTCATTTCTTTTCTCGGCCACTTTTTAGCAGTTTTTGTTGTTTTGTTCTCCCCGGCAAAAGCAGCTTAGCTCATCATTTTGTCTTTGTAGTTTTCCCAGCAATTGTATGCTGGTTTTTCACATTCCGTCGTCGCTCATTAGCATGTGCCACTTTGTCGCTCGTCGCTTTGCGCCCAAGCTTTGAGGTCACTCGACTGCCTTCAACTTTCCCCCTTCCTTGTCTAACATAATGGCAGCGTTGGAAGGGTAACCGTGGACGTGTCAACTGATTGTCTCTGTAACCTTGTCAGCACTTATTAATAAAAACAAATAGAAACCCCCATTTTTAAAAAATCCCATCGTCTGACCTTGGTGACCTCTCCCGCTTCCTACCGAGGACCCAGAGCAGGTTGGTACCGCGCAAGCCAAAACGCGCTCGTATTTTGTTTCCTGACTTGGGTTTGATGACCCCTCCCCCATAGAAGCTCATTGCATTCAAAAAGGCCCGTCCAGTATTCCGACGTTGAAACGAGAAACAGGAGACGGCAACGCTGCCCCCTGGCGGACGGAGGAAGGAACGCCCTTTCAACGCGTCAACATCTGGAAAGCGCCGCGTGGGTTCCCGCTGATCCGCGAACACGCACTCAGCAGTTCACACGCATAAGAGTTACAAATCAGTCATGGCAAAGAAGTCAAAAAAGTGAAAATTGCGGATGTACCTCACCACACGTAAACGCACAAACATCGGGGGAAAACTGACGTACAGCAACAGGAGCGCGCATCTTTTATTCAGTCATTTTCTCGCTCTGTCTCGCAAACACTTTGGGAAACCGGCAGCGACGACTTTGGTCTCATTTTCCACGTCCGCCTCACGCGAGCGCGCGGGCCGAGCGCACTCGCGCCCCGCGTGCGCGCCGGGAGTTGGAGTTCGCGAGGCGCACATAGTGACGCCGCCTACGGGAGCAAGAACGGCATCTCCCGACATGCCCCGCGCGCGCCTCTCGCGCCCCCTTCCTTTCCCTCCTTCCTTCCTCGGTCGAGGTGCTGCGGCGTCCGCGAGCGGGATGACGACAAGCCGCCTCGGCGGCCCGGAGCCTCCGAACCGAGCGTGAACGCCGAACCCGAATGGCAGCGGCGGACCGTGGGCCGAGCCGACACTCTCTTGTTCGGCCTTGAAGCCGACGACAGCGTCGCCTGGGCTGCGAGCGCGAGGGGGATCGAGGGGCCGGGCCGGGTCGGGTCGGGCCGAGCCGAGCCACGTCGGCTCACCCCGGTCATGCAAAGTCCGCCCGAGGGTCCACGTCGAGGTTCCGGCGAGTCCGCCGACGGCCGCTGGTTCGCGCGAGCGTAGCGGAAGTGGAAGCGGTGAGGGTTCCGGAGCCTCCGCCCGCTGCAGCTGACGACGAGCCCTCGCGTGTGACGTCGAGCGCCGACCGTGGAGGGCGTGGAAGGGTCCGCTCCGCTCGGAAATCGCCACATCGTGAGTAGTCCTCCTCTCGTCGTTCTCTCGCCTCGCAAAAACGACACTCGGCGGCGGCTCGAGCGGATCGCGACCGCGCCGTCACAACAACAAAGCGACACGTGAAACGTTTCGCGCGTGCCACCTGTTGAGGGGAGCGGCGTGACGCGCCTCTGCGTCTGGTTCGCGCGAACGCGGTCACGTGACATTGACGCCAGCGCCCGCGCGCCGATCGGCTCGGCGCTCGACGTCTTCGAGGTCTGCGGTCGCGAGCGCCACAGATCGAGGGAAACGCGGCTCGTTTCAAATGCGTCGAGATGCCGCAAAGACCAAAAGGTCTCGGGCCGTCAATGCCTCGGCCTGTCGTTGAGCGGCACGTTTCCAACGGCCACGGTTGGCGCGAATCGCCATTGTCACCGCGAAGACGTATCGAGTGATACATACGCCTTCCTCCTGGCGAAAGCCGTCAAGGGCGCCGGCCTCCATCGACGCCCGCTCTCAGGCTGACCTCGCGATGCTCACGCTCCAAAACGGAGCCAACGGACAGCTTCCGATTCCCGCAGCATGCGCCGATGGAGATGAAAATTCTCTCCCGAGTGTGCGAGTGCTGGCCCGTATGGGCGGGAAAAAATAATAATTCCATGGCGATATTGGCCGTTTTATGGCGCGGTTTTGCGACCGGGCCCTCGGAAACCTGCACTCGGCTCCCAAACTTTGCGCCGCCACGTCATGAGCGCGATCTCCGCGAAGACGGAGCCGAGCGCCGGTGCAAAGGAAGCGGCGCCATCGGCAGCCGCGGTTATTTCTCGGGCGATTCAAAAGCCGCCGCGCGGGTGTTTGCGTCTTTTCAGCATTCCCGCCGGCGGGGCGAGCGGCGTCATGGAGCGCTGGGGCAGCGTCCAGCTGGACGTGCCGGACTTCAGCAACTCGGTGCTGTCCCACCTCAACCAGCTGCGGGCCCAAGGGCGGCTGTGCGACATCGTGGTCCACGTCCAGGGGCAGAGTTTCCGGGCGCACAAGGCGGTCCTGGCCGCCAGCTCGCCCTACTTCCGGGACCACATGTCCCTGAGCCAGATGAGCACCGTGTCGCTGACGGTCATCCGCAACGCGTCCGTCTTCGAGCAGCTGCTGGCCTTCTGCTACACGGGCCGCCTGCGGCTGCAGCTGCGCGACATCATCAGCTACCTGACGGCCGCCAGCTTCCTGCAGATGCAGGAGGTCATCGACCGCTGCACGCGCATCCTGGAGGGGATCCACCTCAAGATCGGCCCGGCCGTGAGGCTGACAGGTGAGCGGCGCCTTCGCGACCGCCGCGTCGCCAGCGCGTTGACGCGCCTTTTGTGTGCGTTGCGTCAGGTCCAGCCCCCCGGGCGGCGTCCTCGCCGATCGGCGGCGGGCCGAAAGCGAATCTCCGAGCAGAAGCGAAGACCCGCCGCGCGCCAACTCCCAGGTCGCGTGCCGCCGCGGATTCGGTTCGGTCCCGATGGGGCGCGCGTTGTGACCGAGCGCGTGTTTGTGTGGGCGGCAGGGCGAGGAGGCGGCGGCGGGGGCGTACGAGGACTACGCCAGGGACCCGCCGGGCGAGCGCTGGTTCCGCTACAACCCGCGGCTGACCTGCATCTACTGCTGCAAGTCCTTCAACCAGAAGGGCAGCCTGGACCGCCACATGCGCCTCCACATGGGCATCACGCCCTTCACGTGCCGCCTGTGCGGCAAGAAGTACACGCGCAAGGACCAGCTGGAGTACCACATCCGCAAGCACACGGGCAACAAGCCCTTCACGTGCCGCCTGTGCGCCAAGAGCTTCCCCTTCCAGGCCATCCTCAACCAGCACCTGCGCAAGAACCCCCCGGGACAGCGCGCCCGCAGCGCCTCGCCCGAGACCACCACCGCCTCCCTCGGCGCCAGGGGGGCCTCCCCCGGACGGGAGGACCCCGAGGGCG